ACAGGAAGCAGAGGAAACAGTATTAATACTAATTTATTCCCCTCAAGCTGCCAAAAGTTAATGAGTAACAGTATTTATTGCTGGCAGGGAAGTAGGAGCTTGGAACATGGGAGCTGATGTTGTTGGCAGCAGATTCGAATGTTAAAAGTTTTTTTTTTGAAGGAATCTTGCCACATCTATTAAAATAAAAAATGTATGCATATACATATATACACGTATGTATTTATAATTATATTTAATTACACACATAAAATTACACATATATAATTTTATATATACAACATAGCAACCTTTTTCTGGGGATCTATCTCATAGAAATAAAAACAGTAGTGTGCAAAGATCCATATAGAAGGATATGGTTACAGTTTGTTTTATTGGCCAAAACTAAACAAAAGTAAAGATGCTTTAAGGAGGACAATTTGGATAATGAACATTCTCTTCACAACATGGAATACTATGACACTACAAACAAGAATGAATCAGAGGTATTCAAGGTATTCCTGGGTGAGGGGGAAGAAAAGAGATAACATATTGCCATTAATGGTAACAACGTTCCTCTGTGTATGTTCATATTTATGCTTATCTATGACTTTAAGAGCATGAAAGTATAGAGAAGGGTACATACATACTAGGTTGTCAATATTTGTTCCCTCAAGAGAAGAGTGGTAATGAGTGTGAAACTTGAGCAAAATTGAAAAGAAAACAAGCAAAATAACCATCTCCAGATTGTCTTCTTAAAGATTTCTATTTTTTGATGTTCTTGAGATCCTCAACTCATGAAAATGCAGACTCAAAAACCAAATGAAAGCTATTCCTGTCCATTCCTGGTCATATGTGTTGGATGACTGACTTCTGTGTCCTGTTCTGGCTCTCCCAATTGAAGTTGTTTAATAAGCAGTTTCTAGGCTTCCAACAGAGGGTATTTTGGAGCAATACGTTGACATGCCAATTGTCATAGAAAAATGGATGCTGTGTACACCAGTGTGTTATTATTCCCTCATCCACATGGCCACCAATAATCCATTTTCACCTGCTGATCTGCAACTGATCAGTGAGTGGGTCACAGAGATGGGGGAGACTCAAGCCACTTTGGAGAACACAATGGATTAAAAAATTAGATGAAAAAGTGAAAACACATCAGACCTAGAAAAATGAATTGGAAAATTAGGAGTCATTCCCAGCCTGTGCAGGCTGTGGATGAGTAAACCCCATTAACATTAAACTGCTTGGGGCAACTACTCACACGAACACACAAGCCACTTTTTATTATTATTATTATTATTATTATTATTATTATTATTATTATTATTAATGTATTTTGTGTAGATGAGTGCTCTATCTGCATGTATGAATTTATGCCAGAAGAGGGCACAAGATATCATTATGGATGGTTGTGAGACACCATGTGATTGCTTGGAATTGAACTTAGGACCTCTGGAAGAGCTGCCAGTGCTCTTAGCTGCTGAGCCATCTCCAGCCCCCTACAAGCCACCTTTATGATACACACAGGTACACTCTTCTGGGGTTCCAGGGCAGGATGTGCATGGCAGGTACTTCACCATTGTCTATTCATACCTTGACTCTTTTTTTCTTTAAAGGCATAATGGCCATTCCCAGGAATGAGTCACGAACTCAGCTTGCAAACTGACATAAAGATGCTGAACACCGTTAGCTCTGCACACTTCCATTGGGTCGCTTTTTTTATGCTCTTTCTTCTAAATTCTCTTTTTTCTGTTGACATATATTCATCATACATAATGTTGTGTTTCATCAAGGCAATTTTTTTTCAAATGTATCATGTACTGTGGCCACATGTACTTCTCTCATGTTCTGTCCCTCTGGTCTCCCTCCTTCCTCTCTCTCTCTCTCTCTCTCTCTCTCTCTCTCTCTCTCTCTCTCTCTCTGTATTTAGGTATTGATATCAAGTTCTAGGATTCACAAATAAGAGCAAATGTGCTATTTCTGTGTCAGCATCTGGCTTATTTTGCTTAATGTGGTATCTGCTATTGCATCCATTTTTCTAGTAAGCAGCATACTTTTATTCTTCATTATGGCTGAATAAAACTTTACACACACACACACACACACACACACACACACACACACACACACTCATGTTTAAAAAATCCATTTATCCATTGGTAGACCCCTAAGCTGATTTCATGACTTGGCTATTGTGACCAGTGCAGCAGTGAACACGAATGTGCAGTCTCTGTGATACAGTGACAGCGTGCTCCAGGCATATGCCTAGAGACAGTATAGCTGGGTCATATAGTACTTCTTGAATTCTAAAGTAATATATGTCCCAAAGAGAATGACATCTTTCCAGCCCTCTGATGTCCCTTCCCTTGTTGCTCTGCATTAGAATCAGGGCAGTCGTTCTCTCTAAGGGTGCAATTGAAGAGTGGCCAGCAAACACGTTCAGGCTCTTCCTAAACCAGTGCTCATTTCTGGTTGACCACCTCCTTCTCCACCTTCATGTCATCACCATCATCATCGTCGTCGTCATCGTCGTTGGCATGCCATCGTTGTCTTCATATTCTGCCACGAGAGCCTTCTTTTCTCTCTTCTTAGACGATTTTTTTTCTTGGTTTCAGTTTTATACAGTAAACTAAAATTTGCTAGTATAAGACTCGCAGGTTAAACAAGAAATTCCTGTGAGTACCAGGAATTAGATAGACAGGTGTGCTAGGGAGGGATGGGATGAGCACAGGCAGCTGTGGGCCTTGCGTCTCATGAAGGAGTGGAGACTGCTTCTCAGAAGAGATGCGTTTGGAAAGGAAATGTCCTAACTTTGCCTGAGGTAAGAGATGGCATTCCCGTAAAGGGGGACAGAGTGCACCAAGGCCTGTAGATGACAACAGGACATTTGTCTGAGATTCCATTAGCATGGCAGACAAGGGAGACACTGCCATGGCGTGATGCTTCTCCCGGAAAGAGGAGTGCGGGGGCTTTCACTTTTCTGGTAGACCACGGCTCAGTACTTCTTGTCACCGGAATCCTCAGTGCCTGGATCAACCTGGCCTGGACTCTGAAAATCCCAGACTTGAAGCTATCTGACCTGAAGAGGCCAGTACTTGGCAGGCAGAAGCAGCCCAGCTGGAGTCTATGAGGAATCAGGTGGCGCTACAGCAGATTGGGAATGATTAGGAAAAGCATTCTCCGTTAGTAAGCGCTTTCTTCAAAGCTAGCCTTTCCTGGAAAGATGTTTCAAAAATCATGATATAAAATTATTCTGATCTTATGCCCTAGATCTTACAGATGATAAGGAAAAGAGAAACAAGTACATAAATAGGAAACTAATTGGCTTGTGTTATCCCATTGTATAGTTCTCGGGAGCTTATGATGCTCAATAATAACTTAAAGTTTACTTTACTTCCTTTTTAAAATTAGTTTTTAATTTTTAATTTTATATGTATGAATGTTTTGCCTACATGTATGTCTGTGCACCACATTTGTGTAGCACATGCAGAAGAAAGAAGAGGGTGTTGGATTCCCTGGAACTGGAGTTACAGATGGTTGTGAGCCACCATGTGGGTGCTGGGAATTGAACCAGGGTCCTCTAGGAGGGCAGCCAATGCTCTTAACTGCTGAGTCAGCTCTCCAGCCCCTTAATGTTTTTTTCTCATCAAAGAAACAATTGAATGTTAGAACTGGGTGAGTCCTTTGAATGGATTCTAGTCCCTTGCTCTGTTTACAGTTAAGGAAAGTGCAATCTAAATATGATGGGAAGGGCCACAAGTCACTCTATCAGATAATTAGAGTTACTTGTGTTAGATGATCAGGCAGTCAGTTTCGGCTCAGAGCAACTAACCTTTCTGCTATATGTACTTTAGGCTCTTAAAATTGCAGGTATATATTCTCACCATACCACTTATATTTTACTGCTTACGTATTTGTGCCTTGTCTTTTCTGCTGAACGTATTTTGAGGATTCTCCTCAGTTTGTTATTTCAAGGCCGTATGGCATGAATGATAGATAGGAATACAGTTTAAGGACTACGTGGCTAATCAGTTTCATTAGTACATGGATGTTGTGGAGTGTTCTTATACAGGCTAGGACAGTCATACTATCTTCTGGTGATGTGATTTTCCTTTTCTGTGCTGGATGTTAAATATACAGGAGGCCAGTGCTTTACCACTGAGCTGCATCCCCAGGCCTGAGGGAGATTGTGGGACCAGCATGACACATGCAGTCTGTCATTCACCAAAACATCACAGGGTGTTTGTTATTCTGACATAATGTTACTCACAGATTATCTTAGTGCCTACATAATATTGTCCTATGTGGATAAGACGTGGTTAATTTGGTCTAGTCTCTGTTGTTGACATTTTCGTCTTTGAGTTTTTATTGTTATCTGAAGCTACAAACCTTTGCCAAAGCTGTGGGGCTTCTCAGGGGCCACATTCTATGGGAGGATTACAGCTTTGATCAAAGTGGATGGGAAGACTGAGAACTTTTGGCAGGTACCACCAAGTTTACCAGGGATGGTCGGCCATGGTCTGTTTTTTGAAGGCTAGTAACCTGAGTTATTCCAATTAACTTGGGATTCAGGTTTGCTCTGGTCTCAGTATCTATGAAGGACTAGAAACTGTGATCGAGGCTTTAGTTTGAGGAGTCAGGTGGTGGAGTTCTTGGTGTAAAACAGTCTGTAGGAGCTAAAGGGAAAATGCGTGACAGATAGCTGAGGGAAAATCCAGACATTTTCCTACAGGGGTCACTGTTGCTGTCAATTTATGCCCGGGAGGAAACGAAAATCCTAGGGTGTTTTAAAGCCTGATTAGTCCGCACTTCTTAAACTGTAAAGTAAACAAGACTTTGCAGGCAGATAGCATTAGCTGCCAAGTTCTTATATAACGACCACACTGCCCACTCCTGCTTCAATTGCTCTTTACGGAGGAAGCATTGGCGTCGGATTCCGTAAGTGTGCACACGTCGTACACCGACTTGAATAGAAGGGAAAGAAGATTCTTTTGCTGTGGTCCGCAAGATCCCTTGTTCTGCTCTCGCTTTGCACCTTAAAATCTGCACAGACTAAAACAGCGAGTGCAACTTGCTTTGTGTCTTTCCATTTGAGTTGTCGAGGGTGCGTTTAGATTTTACACACGGCGTTCCAGGAGCTGTCCTAAGGCGGCAGTCTGGTTGCAGGGCTGAGTAGGGAACCGCCAGGTGTGTCGGGAAGGTGCCAACTCTTTCTACAAAGCAGCAGTCTTTTCCATCACCAAATGCAAAGCAGCCAGACGTTTTTCCACCCTCACCCTCCAGTCCCCGGCCCCCCATCCGGCGCCGGGAGGTAGGACCGGCTGGGAGGCGTTAACTAGCCCTCTGCTCTTTTACCCGACCCCAGAGGCGGCTGCTGTTCCTAGCAGAGCCATCTGGCTGGTCTGCACTAGACAGGCAAGCTTCGAGCTGACCCAGGGCTTGTTCCAAGCCCAGGCTGGGCTGGGGCATCCGGGAAGCGGAGGGAGTCAGTCTAGGAACCTCAAGTGTGAGCAGTGGAGAGGCTGGTGGGCAAGGCTCAGCCTCTGATGGGAGGGGAGGCCAGAGCCTAGCTGCTAGCACGCAGTGTGTGTCCTGGCTGCAGACGCCTGGCTCGGTCCGCTAGTGCGCCTCCACCCCTGGCACCGAGGCTGGGAGTTGGCGAAACTCCCTCACCTGTCGGAACCCGGATCTGGCAGCGGGAAGGGTCTGGCAGCCGGCGCCTGCTGGTTACAGCAAGCTTGGCAAGTGGCCCTGCCTGCACTAGGGGCGCCTCGGCCAAGGAGGCAGGTGTGAGGCTGCTCCGCACCCTAGCCTCTTCGCAGGTCCGTCGTTCTCCTTTGTCCCCAGGCACCATCAGGTTGGGGTAGGCCTAGGGGCAACTCCTGCAGACTCCAGGACTGTAGGTTCGAGACGCCCCGCCTCCTCCTGCCTCTTAGAGCGTCAGTGCTGGAGGAACCTTCCATTCGGAGAGAGTCTACAGTAACTGCAGAGGTTTTCAGGACTTTGCAGGCAGAGACTCGCTGGTCCGTTGTCTGCAAGCCACGCCACGTCTGCTGCTAGCCTGCGACACCCCTAGACTCGGAGAGACTACTCTCCCAGCGGCACCGACACCCCAACTTTTGATTCGCGGTCTGCGTTGCCTACTTGGGTGCCCAGCTACAGTGCCCGGGGGCGCGCATCTTCTGGAGACGGCGCCGCTCACACAGCCCAGCTTGCTCTTCTTTCCCACAAGAGTGAGGGGCTGGGTGCCTGATCCAGGACCACAGTAGCCCTCGGGCGGGAACTGCCTTCGAGAAAGGTTAAGCCCAGGAGCTCCGAGCCTCTTACTCCAAACCATAGTCGGTTCAGGTGTTTTCTCTCCAAACCCTGCGCCTGGCGCGGATCATCCGCGCGGCTGGGCGGTGAGCGTGGGGTCCCTGTCGCCCCGTCGGAGTGGCAAACCATGGCCGGCTGCTGCTGTCTGTCTGCGGAGGAGAAAGAGTCGCAGCGCATCAGCGCGGAGATCGAACGGCAGCTTCGCCGCGACAAGAAGGACGCGCGCCGTGAGCTCAAGCTGCTGTTGCTGGGTGAGTGGCTGCGTTTATCCGGCGGGCAGTTCGGATGTTAGCGTCCGGGCTCCTTCCCGTCCAGCCGAGGAAGCCCGGTGGCGTGCTGTCGTTTCCTCCCGTCCCGTCCCGCGGCTCACAGATGCTGAGGCCTCCAGGCTTAGGCGCGGGTCTTTTTCACCTGGGGCTGGGTTATGTTCGACCCCCGACTCCCAGTATTTCAGAGCAGGGCCGGGCTCAGCTCTTGGGCTCTTGTCTGTTTTCCCCGGCACTGACCCCTCCGCCCTTGGGCTCCCAGCAACCTCAGTTGCTGCAGAACCCCAACCTGGATGTTGGCGGGCGTTAGGGGGCTGCCTGGCCCACAGTTTAGGCTCTGTTCTCCATGGATTCTGACCGCAGGTGCCGTACGCAGCCTACTTTTTACCCCCAGCTAAGGTTATATGGGAAGGCTCTGTCCTCACAGTAAGAACTGACAAAGGAAAGTCTAGAAACAAACTTGAGAAAAGAGAAAGCTGATAAGGGGTGAGCCATGCAAGTGAAGCCCCTACTGCTAATACCTACTACCAATACCTTCTGTGACCTCCTTGGCCCACCTTGGTTCTACTTAGCTGGCCCGGCTACCTCTATCGGTGCCTCGGCAGGCTTTTAGAAGGTCTCTGCAGAAGTGTTTCAAAAACAAAAAGAAAAGAGTTTAAGGTGCGATTCATTCCCCCAAGGCAAGGATTAATTTCTTCTGATCTACAGAATGTCCTTCAGTCCATCCACTGGTGAATACTGACCTTTTTTTTTTCTTTTACCAGTTCCTCCCTGAATAGCTGCAAGTATTTCAACTTGTTCCCTCCATCTTTTCAGGAGCAAGCCCTCTCTTACTGTGTATTTAATTATCTTTGAGCAGTCACATTTCATGACCTATGAAGGAAAGACAGAGTCGACCTGGAGAGAGAGGCCTTTTAGTCTGCTCTGCCTTCAGACCCGGGCAAAGGAGCCAACTGTCTGCTATGTAACCCCTACTCCTGCGTTTAAAGGGCCTCCCCTGGTTTTCCTCGGACCTGTAAGTCCAAAAGGCTGACCACCCAGATTCCACACACCTGCCTCTCCTCTAAGGCCAGAGGAAATTCCCTGCCTAAAGGACTCCTAGCTTACTGTTGGGGTCTTGGCCAGTGAGGGAGAGAGATCTGATTCAGGGGGAATACCCATAGGGAGGCTGTTTGCTCAGGCTGGGAAGGAGCTTGGGACTGTGGCCTCGGGTCCACGGGTATCCCTAAGAGGTTCCTAAGGGGGGCAGATTATGGGGTGTGGGTGGGAAGGAAGGGCCTCTGTACACCCCCAGAGCCAGGGCTGCTTACCAGAACTGGGCTGGCCCAGGAACTCGAGCTGAACTCTGCAGGCTGTCATCAAGCTTGGTTGGTCAAGTGGAGTACTGTCACAGTTTGTAGTTTGATACTCAGTTAATCAATTACACCTTCCTTCAACTTAAGATGCACACTTTTCCTTGTCAAGGGTAGACTAAACTCTAGTTCATTTTGAAATATTTAGATTTGTGTCGATGTGTGAAGTACTGTTAGGCCTATACCAAGAGCTGGGCATATGCTGGCTCCTTGTAAGGCTAATTATGCAGTAAGCTGAGCCATAACATATTGCTAATGGGCGTATTTGACACACTTAGACACACAAAGTAGAGAAGGAATGCCCGAGGGCACATTGTTTGCCTTAAAGGTCACATTTAATCCAGGTAACAAAGCCTCAGGCTGTTCTAGCCCTTGTTCCACTTCTCCTGACCCCTTGAAGTACTTTGTGCTCCCTTCTCCCAGATGGGACTATCAATCATTATGGTGACAATTTTCCCATTCAAGGTACAGTTCCAAATCCCATGGAGCTACCAGAGCTTTGATGGGCTTAAAAATCTAAGTTCTTTCTATCTTAAGAGGGTTAAGCCATAGTCCTGTGACTAAAAGATTCGGCAGTCAGGGAAGGGTATGTGCCATGTTGTCTGAAATCACAGAGTGGAAACTTCACTAGTTACTAGAGTAGCTGGACTAGATCATTCGCTGATCACGTCTCTCAGATATTAAAGCTCCACTTCATAAACAGGACTTTGAGATCTTGTGTGGAGTGTGTTCCCAGAAGCCGTGGGCTATCACAATGATGCCTGTGTCTGCAGCCAGGGTGAGGGTGTTTCTGAAGTGTGCTGTAGGGTAGCAGAGTCCTGACTATGCTTAGTAAAAGTCTAGGTCACTATCCAGTACTGAGGGGCACAAGTTGTCTGGTTATAGCTGGTGGTTGCAAGATGTTGGCTGAACGCTTCTCAGCAGGAGGAGACGAAGAAAATAAAGGATACAGCTGAATTTAGTAGAAAGGAAGTCCTTCTAATTGGGCAAAATACTGCTGGAGAAGTGATGGCAATGTGTGTCCTGTACACCAACGGGGAGGTGGACCTTGGACTTGTGTGCCTCTAAGTCATGTGCCTGCGAGCTCACCATTCTACAGGCCTCTGTGACTGGAATGGGAAAGGAATGGATATTCCTCCGTACTGACACCCTTGCCAGAGCACAGATGAAACCTCCCAGTGCCTTGAGGCAGAGGCTGGAGCTAGACCAAAGGAGTGTGGCGTTCTTCAAGACAGATGCAGAGCCAAAGGCCATTTTGCCTAAGGAGAAATAGAAACTTCTGTGAGAGCTGTGGCTGCAGACAGGGTGACCCGTAAGGCCAGCTCAGTGGAGCTCAGTGAACTCAGCCCAGAGATAGCAGCCTCAGCTCCTTGAGAAAGCTAGCTCCATGCTGGCCCATCAGCTACCGCTGGAAAGCAGCCACCAGCTCTGAGCAGGGCAGTGTGTGCTGTGAGCTTCCGGGGATGTCCTTGTGGGTAGAGATGCCAGCAGCCTTGAATCCCATCCTGAGGCTGGGTGCCACCTTTGCTGGTCTTGAGGCTGTAAACCTAGGGGAAGAGGAGTCACTAGTAGGAACAAATTGAGTGCTTTATAGACTGTGGCCTCTGTGGCCTGACCCCGTTTTGTGACTTCACTTCTCAATCAGAAGCACTACTGGCCTTCCTCCTTCCTGGCAGGACGAGCCTGTGCCCCTCAGCTTGGACCCTGAGCTGGGCAGAGTTGGGGTGGTTTGCTGATGTCGGGATCCTCAGAGTAAAACGTGGGTGCTGACAAGGGGCTCTACCCTTGAGACCTCAACACTCCTTCCTACCTCTGTTTGGGATCCTGGTCCCAGCAAGACACCTAGGCCTGGTCAAGCTCTTTCACAGGCCCCCATCATCACTGTTGTCTCTTCAGCAGCCTTGTGAGGATTGTCCCCAGATGGGGGCCCACTCTGCTGCCCTGAGTCACCAGGGTACTGAGGAGCTTTGCTGCGTTTCCTTTAGCTCCCCGCTTCTCACACCACCTGCCTTTAGCTAGGGTGCATGGTCTTGTGGCTCTGGCTTGCTCTAAGCTCAGGCTGTTTACTGCTATACACTCACTCCTATGATCCTGCAAAATGGTCCTGTCTGGAGACAGAACAGGTCTGGCCCTGTAGCTTCCCAGTGGAATGGCAGTATAGAGTCATGTTAAATATTAGCTGTATTGATAGACCTTGTTCTCAGGATGTGAAATGTGAAGATAGTACTCCCAGGCCCACACACTGACCCATACTCCACCCTACATCCAGGAGGTGCACCCAGGGTGGTCCTCAGCCTCCTACAGGGTGAGCCACATGTTAAGGCACATCCTCCCAGGCCACTCATGGAGAGGATGCTGGTGGCAGTGGCAGAAGCAGTGACCTGAGAAGATGAGGTCAACAGACACAGTGTGGATCTTAGGGCACTTGGTGGCTGAAAGTGGGTAGTTGTGAATACAGAGAACTGGACACAGATCCCAAGTCCCCTTTATCAGAGGCCACCTTGGCTGTCAAGTGAGACACCAGGGCTACCTTACTGAGTAGAAATGCTCTCACCTAGAGAAGAAGTTTCCTGTGGAGTGAGAGTTGGTGCAAAAGCTTGCCAGGGTAGCCACAGCCTAGCACAGCCTGGGGTAGCTTACAGGGCTTCCTTCCCATTGGCATGTTCTTCTGTGTGCCAAGGTTTCTGTGACTTATCTTCAGGTGACTACAGTCTGATAATGGCCTGTGGCCACCTTCTCATGATGCTCCTCCTGGGGAACAGAGGGCCTCCCTTCAGGTTCCTACTTTGGAGAGCAGCCCACAGGCCATCCTCATGCTTGCTGAGAGCCAATACTGAAGCCTAGGGCCACGGGACAGTTGCAGCATTCCAGGGCCAGCAGACTGCATAAGCATTTCTGGGACTTCCTTGCAATTACTGCAAGAAAGTGTCCTGGGAGATAACCATATCTGCAAGGGCAGAGCAGCACTCAGCAGCTGGCTACTACCTGTAGCCTGAGTCCCAGAGTGCCCATTTCTGATTGGGCACATGCTGAGCATCTGGCTGGACACCACTGATCCAGGGAAAATTGGGGTTCCCCTCTTTAAGAATGGACTCAAAGCGGGTGGTGGTGGCACATGCCTTTAATCCCAGCACTTGGGAGGCATGGTCAGGCGGATCTCTGAATTCAAGGCCAGCGTGGTCTACAGAGAGAGTTCCAGGACAGTCAGAGCTACACACACAAACACACACACACACACACATACACACACACACACACACACACACAAAAACAAAAAACAAAAAACAAAAAACAAAAAAACCTGTCTCAGGGGGAAGAAAGGCCTCAAACAAGTTCAAGGATGATTTTATTAAAGAAGGAAAGGAGGAGGGAGGGGAAGGAAAGGAGGGGGAGGAATGAGAGGAGTGGAGGGGTGGGAAACCCAGGGCAGACAAATTGTAAACCTCAGCAGCTGCCTGGAGGAGGAGAATGGAGGAAAGAAGGAGAAACAGACAGTTCTGATTCAGTTGAGATGGAGGTCAGCCCATGGCAGACAAGCCGCCACATGGAGGGAGGGGAGGCCTTGGAGCAGTGGTTCTCAACCCTCCTAATGCAGCGACCCTTGAATACAGTACCTCATGTGTGGTAACCCGC